GGGAAATGTACATCAACACAGCACGTTCAAACGAAAATAATTTTACATCACTCAGCGAAACCCAATCTCTGCCGCAACATTTCCCTTCTTTAGTGACATTAAATAATTCAGACGTACCTTCTGCGACTCGGCCCGTGCGTCGGAGCGGAAAAAGGGGGCAAAACGTGGAGAATCGCGAAAAAGACGGTAGAGTGCAACGTAGTCATCCTCATCCAGGGTTCCACGATGATAAAGACCTGGTGCAAAAATAAACAAATCTCCCGCTTTTGCATAAATACGAATCCACTTATCCTGCTTGGAGCGCACATCAAAGTAACAGGAGCCGTCAATCACAATGCGAATTTGCTCATCCTCGTTGAAGTGCTCTTGGAACCAACGCTCCAAAAAAGACTCATCTTTACATGTCTGTGAAATATGCACCTCATCCGTATGCTTATAAAGGCGTTCCTTCACCAACTGCCTGACAATGGAAAAGTCGTTCAAGTTTATATCATAGTAAATGACGCCGAGATCCTTCAGTTGCTGCAGCGTCACGGGCGGAGTGTCGCGTTTCTTCCCTTTTTTTAAGCTCGCAGTTCGAAGCGTTGGCTTTGAGGTTTCGTCGTCAAGGTACCATGCTTGTACCAGACCCTCGCTAACAACGGAGGGTGGTACGGGAGGAAGGTTCTGAATGATATCCGTCCCAAGTTTGCGCCATTCCTCCTCCTGTTTTATACGTCTCTTCTCCGCCTCAATAAGGCGTTCCATCTCCTCTCGCTTCCTCCGCTCCTCCGCCTCTTTTTCTTGTGCCGCACGTCGCTCACGTTCCTCTTTCTCCTGCTGCCGCTTCCTGTCACGCTCAAGTATCTCCTGCTCCTCCTGGAGCCGCTGAGCCTCAGAGATGGGATTAAAGGCGTCCATCTGCAAACTCTTCTCTTATTGCTTCTTCTTCTTTGCGTTTCACTTCTATCCTTCGAATTGCCCTCACCTCTCGGGCCAAAACTGCGCAGAATTACGTAGTGAGAAACGCAAATTGACGCAAAAAAAAAAAAAAAAAAAAGAACAGGAAGTGTCAAAAACAATCTAAAACTTAATTTACAAATTAAAAAAAAAAAAGTAAAGGAAAAAAAATGCCAAACTCAGAGCGTCTTTGTCTCCTTTCCATATCCTTTTTTTGGTTTCATCCATAAAAAAAAAAAAAAAAAAAAAAAAGGTAGAAACAAACATCGACAACTTTAAGTAAACGGTGTGCAAAAAGCACTTTTTTGTTTGTGTGTGCGTGTGTATTCCCCATCCTGCTGGCTGCAGGCGGTGCTACAACAGCTGGAGACGACCGTGCGGTGCCGTCTTCCTGCGACGTCGCTCGTAATCCCGTGAGATACGAAAGCACGCCAGAGCACCATCTCGCTGGCCAAACAAATTAATCGATAAACGAAAGAAATCTGAAGCATAGACACTGTCATGCCAACGCAACACCTTCGCAAGGACACGCTCTTTGATTTCTGGTACCGATGACGAAAGACGTGCAGCCGCCACTTCCTCCGAAATCTGTGCATACCGCCACCTTGCCCGAGCAATTGCCTCGCGTAAATCTAGCGGGTCACACCCTAGGAGACGCACCCCAATTTCTCTGGCCTCCCTGGAAGAAAAGTAGTCCCCATTACTTAGAAGCACAGCGTAAATGTTTCGTAGCATAAGAGCGTCTCCGCTAACACGTGTTGCTTGATACCACATAAAAGTCCTACGGATAGAATCCTCCGTCAGCCAAGGGATTTTGCGACCCATATTCAGCCTACATGAACACTCTAAAAAAAGTTCCGCCTCGGGAGTGGCATTGCTCCGCAAAAGTGCCTCTATTTTTACCCAATCGGTATTGTAAAGAAGACAGTTGTACTCGTAAAGTTCACGTTTAAGTTTGCGATACCTCTCCGCAACCTGAAACACCGTACGACGACAGCCAATGCGCTGAAGAATGTCATCCACAAGTTTGCCCCATCGACCGCTTACCGGGTCATGCATGTCGATGAGGTTATCCTCCGTGGACGAGAAGGGGTCCGGCGAAGCTATCACTTCCTGATAATACTGCAGAAAACATTGAAAACCGTCTACGCTCCGAGTAGAACTCGAGTCGTAGTTGACGGCATTCGCCACAACCTGCCACTGCGCAGAATTGCCCTCCTCCCAATTGTCTAAACCCAGGAGCTCCACCTGTCTCTTCATCAACCTTTTCGCTCGATGGCTCCAGCGAAAGTTGGGTGCAAATGCATGACAATACCATGGCGGCCGCATAAGGGAAGCAGGCGCATACATCTGGGAACCACAGCAAAATTTAAACCATAGGTCCACGTCAGCCCGAAGAAGTTCTTTTCGGTTAGGCTGCCGCTGTGCAGCTTCTCTCCGCATTAATGCAAAAAGAACATTATCTGTGAGCACACGGCGAACCTCAATCGCCTCAATCAAAGAGCGAACATATGACTGAATCCGTCTGTTTTCACGCAGTAAACGATCAAGCGTCTCCTCTTTAATAGTCGTCATGTGTGGTTCATTCGATCTTAGCCCCTTTTTTTTCTTTTCTTTATAAAGCCACATGAAGGTAGAAGAAAAAAATGCCCAAATGAAAAACAAAAAGGAATAGAAAAAAATAAAGACAAAAAAAAAAAAAAAGGCAACACAAACGAAATAAAGGCAAAGAAAATAAAAATAAAACATGAAAAACCTTCAAGCGAAATGGTGCAAATATAAATAAATAATATATATATATATATATAGAAAAATATAGATATATGTACATACACAAATGCATGTATGCACACACGCATTTACAAAAAAGAAACGTTGCTAAAAGGAACGCTGCTGACAAGACGGGGCACGACATACTCAAAAAGTGCCAGTAACCAACCACAAACAAACAAACAAAAAAAAAAAAGATTCGTATTTTAAAAAAACACGTTCTTTCAGCGCATACAAACATACACAAATGAAAAAAAAAAAAAAAAAGAGGGTCCTCAAAAAAGTATAAAATTTAGGAAAAAAAAAACAAATCACGTGGCAAATGCACTTTTTTACTATTGGCAGTGCCTAAGCTACACCTTCACTGTGGCCAGAAAGATCTTTCCATTAGCACATGAAACAATCGCTTGAAAAGGATAGTGATGTGAAACATGTATGTTCATAAGAGAGACAGGCAATTCGCACGAGGCCAATAATTTTCCAGTAGAGAATGACGTAACAAGAACTTTATGTGATTTTGATGTTATGGTCCATAGAAGACCAGTTTTTTCGCAGTATCTTGAGACCAACGGAACGTTATCTCCCATTTCGGATGATAAACGAGTGGAAACCTCCTCCATCTCTTCCCCCGACACGCAGTCAAACACCTGTATCTGTCTTTCCGGCTTTTTTGAGGTGACAATGATGCAGGTGGTATTGGGGAGAGGCTCAATACTGTCAGCTGCAATCTGTGTACCCAAAATCTGCTTTCGAGACTCCAAGCTACGCATATCCCATACCTGAATTGGGCTTCCCCACCCGCCACTAACAGCGATTGTGGGTGTGACAAAACGAACGGAAAAAATACGGTTTGTATGCGTTGCGCGCAAGTACCCGTCATCGTCAAAACCCTTGCATAAGGTATCTTTCAACTTACCAGCTGAATCGTACTGGCGAACAATACGATCACTACCAGCCGTGAGGAAATCGCCTGCATCCAAAGAGACTTCAACACATGTAATTTCATTATCCACCTCATGCGCTTTTGCTGTACGCTCAATTTGGCCTCCGTCCCACCTCCAAACAAATACACCCCCTGCACTTGAGACAGAAACTAAGTCGTACACATCGTCTTCCTTTTGTGTAAACCAACAGACGCCGGTGCTAGGCAAGCCATCGTACGATTTGCCCATCTGAGTCCTGTGCCGAACATGCAGTGTTTTAGGGTCCAAGATAAGAAGCGAGCCGTCACCGAGCACACATGCCAGATATTTTCCGTCCGGTGAAAAAGGGGTACTGTAGACATGATCCGAAGATTCAGAAACCCTGACGAGACTGCCAAACATACATTCCCCCTCCACCTGAGTCACAAACTCCATTTTTTACTTATTTATAACACACAGCGCTAAGACCATCGACATGAAGCAAAAAAAAAAAGCAAAAGCAAAGTCCGTATCAAAATAAATTAAAAAAAAAAGGCACATACATACATACATACATGAGTCGCAATGCAAGCAAAAGAAACAAGTACAGCAATAACACCAGAGAAAATAATTTAAAAAGATCAAGAAAAACGTTTTTTTTTTTTTTTTTTTTTTTTTCTTTAAGGAATAAAAAAAAGAAACAACTACAAAAATACATGCATTTCACACATAAAATAGTTTCGTTTTACAGTGCGTACACTATTGACTTCCGTCCAAGAGCAAAAAACACAGTGAGTACGACCATGACTCCCGAGTACGCGATTGCCTCGGTAGTTGCTATCGCCTTGTCAGAAAAGGTCCAAAATACGCAGGCCACCGCCAAACAAATTATAGCAAGTGACAAAAAAGCATGCAGCATGCCAACTAACCAGTAGAGGGCCACAATCAGCACCCAACGCCAGTTTGACCGAATTAACCGACGACAAGCAAAAAGACCCACAAGAACATAAATAATGGAAGTAACGCAGCAGGAGATAAAAATCAAATTTCCCCATATAAACCCTATTTTATTTGTGGAAGCATTACCCACGCCTAACCCAAGCATTGCACAGCTGTAATTAAAAGAGCAAAAAGAAGAAGAAAGAGGAAAGAATAAAAATAAAAAGAAGAAAACAGAAAAAGTCATGAATAATACTTTATTAAACATAAACATTTCCACAGACACACACACTAATAATAATAATAATAATAATAATAATAATAATAATAAGCTTATTGTAATTTTCAACTAGCGTTACAGCGTCAGCATGAGAAATGACTCTTAATATGTAAGGAACTGATGCTATTTTAAAAACATCAATACAGTAATCTAAATGTATCACTGCTTACCACATTTGTTGTTGTTGTTGTTGTTGTTGATTTGCCTTTCCTCTCTCTCTCTCTCTCTCTTTTGCTTCTCATTTTTCATTTTTGTTTTTTGTTTTGTTCATTTAGCGCGATTGTCCTTGCTTCTTAAAATAATGGAATAAAGAAAAAAAAAAAAAAAAAGAAAAAAAACCGTTTTGGTTGGGCTCAAGGGTAAAGAACGACTGACATCACCTTACCATCGGGAAAGATGGTGCCGTTGAGTTGTTGAACAATAATTGCGTGTAACCCCCGGTCCACCATTCTCACGGCTGCCCCAGCATCATCAAAAATATCCTTAGATTCTACCTTCCCATAACACTGTAAGAGTGACAACAGGGTTGATTCTGTCAATGATACACCGGTAAAAAGTAAATCACCGCTGGAGGGAAATAAGTCCAGTTTGGATTTAAAAACTACGGGCGGAGACGGATATACCGGCACTACGGGTGATGGAACCATCGGAGAGTATATTATGTGGGGCGATGCCGCCGGACTAAGCGCAGGCCGTGGATAAAAAAAGGGGAACGGAGCTGACATTCCCAGTACAGGAAAGGCGGGTATTGGGGAAACCACCGAAGCTGAAGAATTAAAAAGTTGGTATTGTAGCTGGTGCTGCCCATATTTGGGTGAATGCCTCTGCCGGTTTTTGTTACGTTCCTGTCGTTGTTGCCTAACTTCAGCCGTCTCTGAATATTTGATCTCCAGCTCCGCATCCCAGTTTTCAATGCGAATGGTCTTCCTTGCTTTAATCGCCTCCGTCGCCTCATCAATAGATGAAAACTGCACAAAACCGGAACCCTTGCACTGTCCAAGAGGATTCATAAGTACGGCGGAGTCTACAATGCTGCCAAAACGCGAAAAACAATGCCGAAGATGATCCTTGTTTGCCCACTGAGGTAGCCCTCGAATAAAAATACGATCATTAGGTATTTCATCTACCCCCTCATCATGCATCGCAATAGACACATGCAAGAACATGGAGCTATTTGGTGTGGGATGTGTCAAATGTGTCGCATTGATCGCAGCATGCGCAGACTCGGGCCTTCGAAACATTACAAATGCAAAATGACGTTGTCTCACAAGTCTTGTAGAAATAATCTCGCCAAATTCCTGAAACTTTTTCCGCAAGTCGTTCTCGTCCCATGATGGGGGGAGTCCTGCCACAAAAATATTTGTAGAAACATGTGGAGTAACAGATGTCACAGGAGTTGTTCCTGTGCTGTTTTCATTTTCCTCCGGAGGCTCTGCCGTAACATCCACACGCAGCGATGGTTTGTACACTTCCTCCAAAGGTTCCAAAACCTCATTGGGCAGTGCGCCATCCATCCCTTCTGTTTTGTGAATGGCCCTATCAAACTTTTGTTTCCCCCCCTTCATGCATGAAGTGTATACAACATTGTTAATTCATTGAGTTTGTCACATCAAAGGGTGCATAAAAGAAAAAGATAGTGTGACCTCGAGAAATTAGAGACGTATAATAATTAATAATAAGAGGTGGGAGGGGGGGGCTATTCGCTTAAACAATTTCCTCAAAGATAATAATATCAACAATAATCACAATTCTAATTGCAAAAGAACATGCCATTTATAAGTTTCGTTTTTTTTTGTGTTTTTTTTCCATTCCAACTTCTCCATACACTTTTCCTCTCTCTCTCTTTCTTTCTTTCCCCCTCCTGTTCTCTGCCTTAACACTACTAAGCGTTCAGGTTACCTTCTAGAATTTTCTTCGCCCCCTCGTCGCCAATATTTACAAGAAGTTGAAGCAGCCACTTTTTTATATTGGGATTGCCTTCAAGTGCTTGCTTGTACGTGTCATTGCGAAGCACCTCTGGTAGGCACCGAGAAAGTGCTTCGCAAGCACGAGGATTCTCGGAAAGTCGCAAATAACAACGAATGATGTACCGAAGAAGACGCGCAGTACATTCTTTCGATCCCACCATGTTCTGCAGAACCGCCGCGACGGCCTTAAATCGTTCTGGCGTCTGACAGACATACTGCAGACCGAGATCTGAGAGCAAAAGTTTCTGCACAATGAAGGTGGCTAGAGTCCGTGAGAGCTCTAGTCCATATTCCATTATTTTAAGGCACAGAGGGAATATCTCCGTGCTAAGAAGATACTGCATCACATCGTTGTCGTCCGTCTTGACAAGAGCACCAATGACGCCAAGTGAAGTCAGACGAAGGCCCTCCGTCACATTCCCCGTTCCGCTACCCGTCCCGCGAAGAAATGGATATAGAAAGAGGCAAATATGGGCTTCCAAAAATAATTTACGGGTAGAATCATCGTACGCAACGCTCTGTAGAAGTGTAAGGACACTCCCCACGCGGCTTGTTGTCGACTTGGAAAGCAGCTCTGGGGAGTGAAGAAGCGGATAGACAGAGATGATCTCTTGCAGCAAAATAGCCATAGTGCCTACACTGTACCACAAGAACGGTCCAAGTTTTTGAAAGGAATCTCTGTGTTTGGCCAGCTCTAAAATTGCCTTCTCACGCAACTCCAGCTTAAAGAGGCTTTCAAGAAGGTTGAGCATATTCCTCGTCTCCGGAGACACAGTGGCCATTGTAGGGTAAGGCTTCATCGTCGGCTGCTGTGAGGGGTAAATTGCATACTGCATATACGGTGCACCCTGGTGCATGGCTGACAGCTTTACTATAAAAACTTAAAGAAAAAAGCAAATAAAAAGAAAAAAAAAAATTTTTACTCGCCAGAACACAAACGCGCACACGCACACCTCATGAAATTCCAAAGTGAACCCTCTCCCTTTTGACGTTTTTTTTTTATTTTTTTTCTACTCTTACCAGCGCGTCTAGCCACAGGATGCCATCTGAGTGCCGAAGAGGTGGTCGAGCAGCGACAAAAGTTTCCTGCTATGAAGCAACTGCCATTGAGAGAACTTTTCGGTGCGGAGGCCCTGTTCAATGCCCAGCCGTTGGCGCACAGCCAAGGTGCCTGGACATTCTAGAAGCAGATGGTGCAAGGTTTCCTGCGGGCCAATTGGCGTGCTTGTGGAATCTGGCTGATCCTGCGGCAGCAGAGATCGCCTCCTGGCACTTCTGTTTAGATGCCGTGTGGCGTCTGGGTTGTGTGCGCAGCGAATTCTGTGCTGTGCGGTGCTTCTCCGTGTGGGGAAAACCATGTCACAGAAATCGCATTTGAGCTCGGGAAGCGGTGGAGGATGTTCCGGATGAAATGACCGACAGTGACTGACGAGATTCGAGAATCCCGTCAATGTAGAATCACAGTACGGACATTTCTCCTTCCGACGACGTGTGATGGTCCGTCTCCTTACTGGAGAGACGTCTTCCTCCCTTGCCGACGGGGGAACAGTGTCCGTCCCCGGTGCAGTTGGATCGTTGTTGGAGCGCATATATGCAGACTGTTCTGGTGAGATGTTGCAGAAACGGCATTGGTTCGTGCAATCTCTCACAGCCCAGTATAGTCGACCCCAGAGCTCAGATTCGCCGCACCTTGCCCTTGCGAGGTGAACCAGTTCTTGACGGTGAAGAACTTCCTGAGTGATCAGGTCCTTGCCGCTGAGATCTGATGGCCTTGTGCCGCAAAGTAAGTAGCGATGAGTGTCTTGACGAATCGTACTACGCCACTTGTTGGTGAGCTGGGTAGTAAAACATGTCAGCAGATCCGTATGCCATAAAGGTGCAATTCCTTGCTCCGTGTATTGTCCAGTCTCCATAGTCTGCGTCGCATACTGATCTGCAAGCTCGTTAGCATGTATTCCACAATGTCCGTAACAAAACTGCAGGTGCACGGACCAGCCAGCACACGTCAGTGTTAAGAGACGCTGCCAGATCCGATCCTCCGTCCAGTCTGTCTGACTGAGCGGGCCCTTATTTAAAGCCGCAAGAAGAGACTGACTGTCTGTAACCACAAGCAGGGTTTTACGCCTGTGTTGGATACGAGGGATAATCAGCTTTTCTAGGGCTAGAAGCAGCGCACGGGATTCCGTCCTGTAGCTGCATGGGCGTGCACCGCAGTTTATACTGGCCTTTTCTATTATCTCCGATGAATTGAGGGATGAAAGCAGGATTCCAACCCCGGCTGACTTGGGAACGTCGACACCGCCATCCGTCGCGAGTATCCACGAACGATGACTGTGCAGCGCTAGAGCCTCTTCGCTGACCCTGCGCTTTTCCCGTATCAGCTCTTCCTCGTCAGTTATTGAGTGGTCTATCGGAAGTTCCACGTCAATGCTGACCCGGTGTGCGGAGGCCGCAAACCAGGGAGGAATGGAGCTGCGAAAGAACCGCTCTTCGCGTGGTGAGCTCTGAGTGATGCCATAGTCCTTTGTGTATGCGTCTACGAAGGCATATAGCTCGTCCCGAGATAATGGCGAGATGCGGAAACCTGCGCGGGGCGGTGGCTCAGGCGGAGGTCTTCGCATCCAGTCCATCTGACATGCGCGTGTGTTCTCAAATATGGAGAGCCGCGCGCGCAGGCAAAGGACGTGAAGCGGCGGCATATTAGCCTCTAGAAGTGCGGATTCCGGGTCGACAGTGCTCGGAACTCCACTGACAATGCGTGCCAGGGTTGCATACGTCTTCTGCATCTCATTCTTCGCTGAATCCGTCGCTACTGCCCATATGAGCTCGCTGCCATAGCGTATTTTGAAGCACCATATCCAATGACGAACGTGCGTAAGTCATGTGGAGATGGTCCCGCCTCTTAT